CTAATACATGTAAACTAAACAAAATTTTCAAAGTCAATAGACCATGACTAAGAGGGCGGAGCCAAAAAATCTCCATGGAAATGAGATGTGCCAATGCTTATACAACTGCATACAAAATATCATTGACCTACCACTTGTGGTTGACCATAAACTAGACCTAATCACAAACTAATAAATTGTTGCCACCGCCGCCAGAAACAGCATACTTATATCTCGCTTTTTGACTCTGACAAGGCAAGACAAAAATTGGCACTGACAACTGATGCTCTTAAAACTACACATTTATTGAGAGAAAACATTTTTTACAAGGGTTCAAAATGCATGGATGCTTTGATAAATATACATGTAGTATTAATGCTAATGTTTCAACTATATACATGTACCAGTAAATCTGTCACAAATCATAGTGAGATACCATCCCATAACCAACTTAAAAAAAAAAAATTTTGGTAACAGTTACCTTGATCTGTAACCTCATGACCCAAAAATCAATAGGCTTTTCCAATTCCTCGTATCTTCAATCTGTATAAATTCATTTCAACCAAGCACAGAAAACTCAAGATATAATACTAAAATTAGTATCAGTTTCCTTCAGCTTTGACTTATTGACCCCTAAAATCAATAGGCTCTCCCCCTTCCCTATATCTTTCATCAGTATGCATTATTTCTTTCCAATCAACCAAGGAAAATTTAAGTTGCCATCCCAGAAATCATTTTTCCCAAATCTTTTCATCTTTTAGTAACAGTGACCTTGATCTTTGACCTATTTACCCTTAACTCTATAGGTCTTTTACGCTTCAATATATTTTTTATCTGTATACATTTTATTCTTATTAAGCAAAGGGAAATCAAGTTACTGTCTTGAAACCATTCTCAGTAAATACGACCATGAACTTTAATCTATTGACACAAAAAAATCAATAGGGTTCTTTCCCTTTACTATTTCAACGATCTGTATAATGTTCAAACCTACCAAGAAAGGCATACTCAAGTTATCATCCTGAAAGATTTTGTTTGGGACACACAGACTGCAGACAAACAAAGAGATGACTATTTGCCCCTGAACTGAAAGGGCAATAACTCATTTAAGGAATTTAATTCTTTTAATAATATTGTCGTTTTTTAAAGATCTTGATAACTGATAATTTTTGTAGTTATCAGTTTCTGTCTAACTGTATTAGTTTTATAAAAAATAAATATGCTTATTTTTATAAAAAATAAAACCCATCTTTTTGGGGCCATAACTCCTTAGGAATGGTCTAATAATTTTGACAGGGAAAGAAAGACTTTCTGAGCATTTTTAGTTTTTTTACCATGTCAAATATAATCTGTCTTCATTATGATGCAAAATATAAGACAATGACTGGCATATTATCCTTATGTTCTACTTGTAGATATGTTGGTTGATAGACAAGAACACCAGGAATAAATCTGAAGCTGAGGATTATAATGACCAAATATAATAATGTTTCAATTGGCAATGTGGTTTTAGAGCAGAACAATTTTTTTCAAGTTTACAGATAGATGACAACAGACAGGCTACAGAGACCAAGTGATAAGGTTAGCTAAACTAGCATGGTTCTTTGAGTCATGTATTTAACAAGAAATCACTCGTCAAACACAGCTACCATTACAGAAGTCCAGTGTTTCTGCACAAATTGTTTGAAGGTTAAAGGGGATTGAAATGATGGTGGTCATGAATTTTGAAATGCTAGGGCTTATTTAAAGTGGTAACATATTTAACATTTTAAAGGATGGAGGCCTTATAAATGCATGGGGCCCACTATCATACGAGTATGTATAAATTCTGTAGGGAAAACAATGGTCTTTATTAGTAATGTAGATTTAGAAACTGACCCTTATTTGTAAAAAAGATCTAAAAACTGACCATTATCTGTAATTGTATACAGATTAAATCACTGATACAAGTAACAGAAAACAAACAATGTGTATAGATTAAATAAATTTACAGGCAACAAGAAATATAACCTAATGGTATATTATGTTTGTCAACCAGACAGCACTTGTTTGGTCAAAAGTCTTCTATGTAAAGGCATTCAATCCTTAGTAAGATGACAAATCTACTTATAATGTGTCTGTGAATGACATTCTGATTACAAAATGAAATGCCACTTCCTAAGCAAAATATCTTTATTTACCGATCACTTATTGGATTTATTTTCTGTGTGAGGTTGTGAGAAGCAAGACAAGTAGTGCTACAAGATGTTTATATCACAGAAATTTGTAACTGACACTTATAAAACATTGCAAATACTCTATAGAATATTGTAGATATATTTTCTACCAAGTGTATTGAAGAAAACTTATTAATATTTTTAATGCCAAAGAAACCATTTAATTTATTGAATATAATTGCAAAGAAATCATATAAATCCTTTATCAGTGCAACTTAAACTCACACACATATTTATGTATTTCCTATATTTTCCGTTTGGCTAAGTAGGATGTATAAATATGGAGCCAGATCTGGCCAGAACTTGATGCCTTTCTTGGAGAATTCAATGATCTCTGTGCAATAAATAAACCTTGTAACAACTATTTTAGGTGTCAATAAGTGTCTGTTGGAAGGGAAAATATCTGCCCATATCCAACATTCCCTTATTTTCAGTTGCAGTTCAAATTTCCAACCCTTCATTCTTGTTAACCCACTTCAAGTCTTACTATAAAAATAAGAAGATGTGGTATGATTGCCAATGAGACAACTCTCCACAAGAGACCAAATGACACAGAAATTAACAACTATAGGTCACCGTACGGCCTTCAACAATGAGCAAAGCCCATACCGCATAGTCAGCTATAAAAGGCCTGAAACGACAAACGTAAAACAATTCAAATGAGAAAACTAACAGCCTAATTTATGTACAAAATAATGAACGAAAAACAAATATGTTGCACAGCAACAAACGACAACCACTGAATTACAGGTTCCTGACTTAGGACAGGCACATACAGAATGTGGTGGGATTAGTTTACCTATGTTTGCAACATGTCATAGGCACTAAAAATTATTCAGCAGGGAGAAAAAAGTTATAAATGCTTAGGAGACCTTCCTATGTCTTAGGATTAGTGAAACAACATCTACTAATCTGCTACTATATGAAGGTTTATCATCATTTGTCCAAAAAAATTATTATTGAATTTCAAATCAGAAAAACAATGGGTGTAAGTACTGAAGCAGGAAATGCCTTCACTTCAGTTTAACCCTAGTTTTTGTTGGGGTTTTTGTTGCTTAATCTTTATTTTTCAGTTTGTCTTTTTGCCTTTTGTTTTCTCAATACATTTCTTTTCTGGATCTGCCATTTAATCCTTGGAACTCATTATATATTTCCATGAATCACTAGTGATTTTGAATTAAAGAAATACAATCATTGGAAAAACACTAACCAAGATTAGACAAATATACATGACCTTTGAACTTAATTTAGGCATTATGATCTTACAAAAAACAAGAATTATAAGAAGTTTGATAATGGAATATCTGTTTCACAGATGACAACGGATATGTTCCAATTGTCGTAACTACAATCTCGTCCCCTTTTCCCCAAATGTGACCTACCGAAATTAAGACTATTCACCAGGTTTGTACTAACATAAGCAACAGGATGGGTGCCACATATGGAGCAGTATCTGCTCACCCTTCCGGAGAACCTGAGATCACCCCCAGTTTTTGGTTTGGTTCGTGTTGCTCAGTCTTTAGTTTTCTATGTTGTGTTTTGTGTACTGTTATTTGTCTGTTGGTCTTTTTCTTTTATAGCCATGGCGATGTCAGTTTATTTTCGACTTATAAGTTTGAATGTCCCTTTGCTTTCTGTCGCCTCTATTTTGATAAAAATTGTATGTTAAAGCTCTATTTACTATTTCTATTGAATCTTTGTTACAAACTGATGCTATTTGTTTTTTTCTAAACCCATCTATTAAAGACAACTGTTATTTGAGCGTAACATAATTCTGCTTCTATTTGTTTAATTCATAGCTATTTTAAGCAGTACACCATTTCAAAGTAGAATGTTTGCTGAGGAATTGAGATTTATTACTGGTAACACACAAGTAAATAGAACTCTAGTGCATATGATTTATGCTAAAAAAATACCTAGAGATTTTATTTTGTTTTTCATTTTGGTTGGGGGGGGAGAAGATTCCACATAACTCTTCTATAAACTACAATCTTATTATACCATTTTATAATCAATCAACTGATAAAAAGATTTAAAAAAAGATAAACAATTAATGGTACTGACGTCAGAAAATCTTATGATCACCATTTGTATAAACAGATCTCTAAATCGAGCTGTTAAGATAGAGTGTTTGCTAACACAATGATTTTGGCAATATCAGAACAAGAATTTGCCAAGTATCTTTAACACTAAAATTATCAATCAGAACATTTTTTTTGTTTCATTTTCATCATTAGAGATACTATATAAACTTTTCTTTTATGTTTGAAAATTATTGAATTAGAGTAAGAGAAATAAAAACCAGAAAATTTAGTTGTGTGGTGTAAATTTGTACTATATATTTTATGTTATATAAAAATAACGAGATGTGGTATAATTGCCAGCGAGACAGCTTTCTACCAAAAATTAAATAGTCTAGATAGTGTTTCTTCTCAATTAATACACAGCGTCAGCTAGATCAAGAAGCAAATTTTTTATAAACTGAAAAAATTCCTCTTGAAGTCATTTTGCTATCAATCACGAACCTTTAACATTCATTTGAAAAGCAAAACTTTTACCAATTTTTTTTTCTTTAAAAGAGGATTTCTGCAGGAATAATATGTATTTCGAATGAATTTGTAGATGTATAAAAAGTCCCAGCCAGATGTCAAGTAATGGTGCTATCCCCCAATGCATTATTCTAACTCAATATACATTTTGTGTTCAGCCTGACTCTTCCGTCAAGCAGTGAGCAAGGATCCCAGGCTACATATAAAGCTTTAGCCACTGCAAAGTTATTTTTATAGGTTTTCAGCAATAACTTACCACAGAGTTGTATAATAGCTTCCTTTAATACACTGGTTTGTAGTTGAACTGGTGGACTAGATGTAGAATTCTGTTCCAGTGACCTGGTGTGACATTTACACAACCTTCTGTAGCACCCCACAAGCTGTGATAAACAAGAATGCATCATTATTAACTGATTATCTGGTGTGAAAGTCACTTACTTTTACACCTTAATCCCACAGGTGTGAATCACATCCATTCATCAGTATTTGGTATCCTTACATTTAGTGTTTACACTTTAATTCCCATTCCTATATTATCCTTAGGTTGTCACCAATATAGAATTACTCTGTACACTTAAATGTTTAACAGAAAAAGGAATTTTCCAATATTTTATTTCACACTAAAAATAATTAACTCAAAGCCAGGATTACGACAACAAATTCTACGGAAGCAATATAGTTTCCACCGTATACAATCCAATTCCAATATGAGTTTTTCAAGTAGCTTAGCACACAAGTATTTTACATGATATACATCTATATGGACATCAGCTATTTTCACTGCAACATTGGATTTTTCTGTTAAACAGTGTTCTTCTCAACTGGGATGAGAATTAATTTACTATCCATAATAAAATTAAAGGACAATAGTTGTTCATTATAATTTTACTGTCTAGAATGTAGATTTACCCAAAATCAATTTTTAATAACCTCAATCAATTCCATTTGCTCAAGTGACATTTCAATAATAATAAACAAATGCATTGTTATTCCCCAATTCTATAAGATATAAATAATTCACTAATTTTTACACTACATATCCATTAGACTTAATTGTATGATAAATCTTTAATTTGAAGGTAGTTTTCCAAAATATGCAATATCCTCTATTAATGCTTTCAATTCTTTTAAACAAAACACGTCTCTATCTGACGATCCTCTATGCACAGAAATCAATTCTTATGTTTAAGAAAATTAACTTAATAATTAATAGAATATTTTCTTTGTATAAATATCTGAAATTAATCCCAGATAATGATCCTAGTTTCATTACTATGTATCAGTGAGCGAATGACCACAATAAGAACAAGAGATTATTTTTGTCAAATCCCAAAGGCTTTACAAATTTGTAATGGTGAAGAGCAAAGGTATAGCATCAGCCTTTACAAAACCAAAGGGATAGATGACAAGAGCCAGTCTAAGCCTCTGGCATTATATTGTAACAACTGTAATTATTTTTATCACACTTGATTACTAAGTAAAACACTGGTCATTAGTAACCTGTCAGTGGATGGCTAACTATGACCTATACCTGAACTATCTTATACCTAAAGGCACAGTTCTTTTGAATAAATAAATAAACAAAATATATACCCATGTAATCATAGTAATAAAAATAATAATTAACAAGAATGTGTCCATAGTACACAGATGACCCACTCGCACTATCATTTTCCATGTTCAGTGGATCGTGAAATTGAAGTCAAAACTCTAATATGGCATTAAAATTAGAAAGATCATATCATAGGGAACATGTGTACTAAGTTTAAAGTTGATTGGACTTCAACTTCATCAAAAACTACCTTGACCAAAAACTTTAACCTGAAGTGGGACAGACGGACGGACGGACGGATGGACGAACGAATGGATGCACAGACCGAAAAACATAATGCCCCTAGGTGGGACATAAAAATTAATTAAGGCAAAGAAATTGAGAAGTATGATGTGATATCAAGTTCTAATTAAAATATTAATAGCTTTCTGTTCAATCATCTTAGATAGCAAATAAGATAAATATTGAACAGCTTGATGTGTCCAGAATTACACAATATCAAATGTCATAAAGCTATAGAAAATGATTTTTGTTGGGAATATAATCTACATCATTTTATCACACTATATTTATTGAACTTCAACATTATTACAAAGAAAGCAATAGAACAAATCATTTTGTATTGTAATCAATGTTGTCATTCAGGAAATGGAAACTGTTTTTCGTTTAGTTACAATTGTTTCTTGCAGAAACAAGAAGAATATTCAATCATATTCATACTTCCCATTACTACAAACAATATTATAAAACAATTGATACAATTATCATCTCTTCATTTATGCATCAATAACACTGCATAGCACTGTAAAAGTATTTCTAAGAAGACAAAGGATTACTAGTCCATAAACATATATTTAAAGATGGTGAAAAGTATAATTTACATGAACTGCATTTATCTCCCATTTTAACATGCAGGACCAGTATTATTTTCTTTTCAGGACACACTCATGTAGTGTTCTACAGCTTGGGTGAAGTTTCATCAATATCTGTTAAGCCGTTTCTGAACAGTTTTGTTTACCAGCGACCATTACCACACATTACAATATTGAAGTGAAGTTAGTTGGTTTGGTTATTTCCCCTTTAACATGTAGTACCAAGATTATATTACTATCTGTACATCGTCATATAGTGATCTACTATTGTGTCAAGTTTAATCAGCATCTGTCCATCTGTTTAGAAGAAGTTGTGCTAGAGGCACAAAAACAGATTAACAGATAAGGCAGATTGACAGACAGGGTGATTCCTATATATATTCCAAAACTTGTTTATGGGGGATATGACAAATGCACACCTTAACATATAACTACATATATAGAATCGTCTTCATACCTACAGGCAAGGCAATACAAGGCTCTTAAGAGCCTGAATCGCTCACCTCACAAATAATGCAATTTAAGAATATTATCTATTGTTTCCGCAAAAACACAAAATATGAGAAAAATAAATCATCATTTAAGGGCAATAACTCCTACAAATATTTCAATGTTGATTTCGACCATGTTGATTATTTGTAGATCATAATTTGCTGATCATTTTTGTAATTTTCACTTTCTCTCTATCTGTAATAGTTTCCACTAAAAACACAAAAAATGAGAAGAAACTGTCATTCATGGGATTCCTATAAGAAGTAAACTGGTGATTTCAACTATATTGAATCATCTTATATCAAAAGACAAGACTTTAAATTAAAAATAAAATAAATGTACCAAAATGCAATAAAATATTAAATAAATAAATAAATAATTGAGGCAAGGAAATTTAGAAGTATGATATAATAAAAATATCAATAATTTGCTTAACAATCATCTTAGATAGCAAATAAGATAAATGTTGAACAGTTTGATGTGTCCAGAATTACACAATATCAAATGTCATAAAGCTATAGAAAATGATTTTTGTTGGGAATATAATCTATATCATTTTATCACACTATATTTATTGAACTTCAACATTAATACAAAGGAAGCAATAGAACAAATCATTTTGTATTGTAATCAATGTTGTCATTCAGGAAATGGAAACTGTTTTTCGTTTAGTTACAATTGTTACTTGCAGGAACAAGTAGAATATTCAATCATATTCATACTTCCCATTACTACAAGCAATATTATAAAAAGAAATTGTGGAATCCTGATGTTTTCATCTACAAATTAATAGTTCAATCAATGACACTGTATGGCACTATGACAGAATAATCCAAGAAAACATAAATTCACAAGTTCATCTTTAAAATGAGGACAATAATTCTTTAGTGAATCAGATATGGTATATGATTTGAAAAAAAAACCTTTTTCTGTTTTATGTATCATATATTATCATATTAAACTTATCTTATTATATATTATCAATTGCCATAATATGCTAGATTAAATACATAATAAATTTTATTTTTGACAATAATCTTACTATATATCAAATCAGGCTATAGGTTTAAATTTTTGTACTAACTATACAATGCATGCACTGTACATATTTCCCCCAAGAAGAAATTATAAATTTCATTTGTAAAAGGTTCATTGTTAAGATGGACATGCAAATGGAACGTATCCGTTATAAATTTTCATTTATCGTTTTATAATGATTTGCAATCGCATAGAAATAGGTGAACTCTGATGAAAATGCACTATAAATGAAATTCATACTCTTAAAAGGATATGAAATAGCATTATACAAGTAAAATTTATAGCATCTTTATAGGAGATACATAAATGCCAAAGTGTTTATGTACGTCAGTCATATGTCGTACTATTAGGACTGATTATATATGCTTTTTTATCATCAAAGTATTACATCAAAAGAGGAAACATGAAACATGAACTTAGTGAAGCTTTCAAGGGCTTCATACTAAGATATTTACTAACAATACCTGAACGAACAATTCAAGGTTGTCACTTAACAAAATGCTCATAAAACTATGATCCACATGATATTTTTTGTTAGTTAGTCAATATTATAAATAAACAAGAATACGTGTTCAAAGAACATCATGCTTCACTGGCACTATCACCTTTCCATGTTCAGTGAACTGCGAAATATAGGTCAAAACCCTAACTTGGCATATACTTTTAAAGTGTACATCATAATGAACATGTGTTCCTACTACTACATTTCAAGTTGATGTGACCACAACTTCATGGTATACTACATTTGACCAAAACTTTAACTTGATACAGGACATACTAAAGGATAGACAGAAACAACACAGACCACAAAATGTTATGCCTCCTACTATTTATCACAGGCAGGGCATACAATATGCAGGTACTAAATCTAGACTAGTGAAATAACAATATTACTCAACTAGAGACAGTTCAATTTCAAAGTTATTGATCAGGCTTCTAGTTCAGCATTTAAAATATTTAAAATTTTAGTTGAGAGAGGAGAGATACTGTACTTCTGAACATGTTTTGGTAGTAATTGTTTCTAAAATGATTTTTAAACATATTTGACCAATGTGGGGTAAACAATTGTGATCTTCATTAATAGAATTCATTATTAGATTTATCTTTTTAAAAAGGTTTTTTCACAATAGCCAACCTAGAAAAAAGAATAGAAATTTGGTGTCATAGTAAAACTCAGACTAATGAAGATCTAAATACAAGCATAACAGATATATACATACTGGAAAGTTGAAATCAACTAAGTATTAGACTAGAGAAATGAGATAACAGCTGCTTTTCTACAAGAAAGAGACCATAAAACATCACTCTAAATTCTAATGGTATCACAAACAATTCAGATCAATATCTTTTTGGTAAAGGTTGAAAAATTATACATCTAAATAATTTAACAACTGCTTACTATGGCTTTTTTATATTTCTATATTTT